AGATATGACTTTCATAACCTGTGAATGCTAAAATTTCTGATTTTTATTCATGCCACAATTTTCTTCAAACATTAAAGACTTACATTTAATTTTAATTTCAATTCAACACTCATCATCATGGAACGTTGGTATACCTGATGGACTTACGCTTTTGGTCAAGTGATTTTCATATTTGCATATATTACAGAGTGGTAAAAAGACCTATACTTTGTTCCTTTCCAAATTTATATTCAAACTTATCATCTTGAAACTTGGTATGTGGGATAGTCTTACAGTTCTGCTGAAGACAAGATGCGTAAATTTCACGCTAAATTCCTAACCCTAACCCTACATGTACCTCCTACCTGTGTACTTCTGTAAAAGGGTTAATTATTCACTGGGTTTTAATTTTGCTTATTTCGCTGACTGGAAAATGCGCTAAATTAAAACACAGTGAATATGTAAAATTTAGCATAGAACACATTATATAAATGATAAAACCATGAATTTAAAACCCACTGAATATGCCTGAAATGGTAAATCAGTGAAATTTAAACCCAGTGAAAATTAATCATTTTACAGTATATGCAGTTGCAGTAGCTGGTACACCACAGTTCTCCAATAAAACAAATGATCTCTACTGACTCCTAGCAAAACAAGGCCAAGAAATCTGCCATGTCTGATGAATTTTTGTACAACTTATACTTACTATATCCATCTTTAATGTACAGGCTTTGGATAAGATGGAGAATGAATGGAAACCTGTGGTATTTGAAATTATGCCATATAAGGACACAGGTACATTTATCATGAAAGGCTCAGATGAGTGTACGCAACTTTTAGATGACCATATCGTCATGACGCAGAGCATGTCCTTCTCACCGTTTAAGAAACCATTCGAAGAGAGGATATCAACGTGGGAAGGAAAACTAAGAATGACTCAGGTTTGTAATAAGGACAGAATAGTGTGACCATTTCTTGTGCTGATTGAATGAACATGTACATGTATGTGTGTTATTTCCTGTACATGCTAACTGTAGGAGTGTATGTTAAGGATACAATATTGTTTTGTTTTTTCATTTGTTGTATACTATATTACCCGATACTTATTTTGACCATAGAGACATCTCAGTAATTTACATAAGTGGGTGTGCTACTAATAGAGTGAATACAGTAACAGTGGTTGATGACTTGAATAGTAATTTCTATGAAGTGCATGGAATTAGAAAGCAATGCCACTAAAATGAGACATGGTAATACAAACATAATATGGAAACTGTACATGTAACCTGCAGCATACAGTACATACATTAAACACACGTCCTTGGTTGTTAATTTAGTCAGTATACAAATTACGTGTAATGAATTAAGTGTACACTCATTTGTTTCTGAATAGTACAATGTAAGTATTGTTGATGTGCAAACAATCATACAAATTATTGTCTATCGTTGTTTTGTTACTGTCAATACAAGTGATGTTACAAACCCATATCACATGTAAGATTTATAAGGCCATGGAAAAAAATAATTGTATTTTTTATAATCCTACATGAAATAATTTGCAATTTGGTCACATAAAATGATTTTTAATATTTATTTAGTTCCTTCGATGTAGTGGATTGGCAGAACATAATTCTCAGTAAATCCGCTATAATGACTAACAGCAATTGGTAGTTGTTCTTAAGTCTGTAGTGAATGCATGATTGTGATAGAAATAACTTGTTAAAGGTGGTCAAACAGGGAAAAAACATTTTTTTAGAAATCCTACCTGCCTATACAGTATCTTGTTAGAGAAAACACGTTTTTTGTTATTTCCTTGGCAATAGAGATTAGTTTCTTTCAAGTTTAGCTCCTTTTGAGTTTAAGTGAAATGTTTGCAATATTTGCTAGCAGTCTAAGACTACCGTAGAGGGTGCTGTTTAAAGCTTGGTTAATTTCTAGCTATGAGGAGAGATGTCTTAATATGGAGTGTTACATTATTCACATTTAAATATTGTTTTCAGGATGTATTGGATGAGTGGTTGAATTGTCAGCGTGCATGGCTTTATCTAGAACCCATCTTCAGCTCTGATGACATCAACAGACAACTCCCTGTAGAAAGTAAACGATACCAAACTATGGATAGAATGTGGCGAAGAATCATGAAAAATGCCAAAGAAAATCCACAGGTACGTGTAATACAGTCCGGTAAAGCTTGCTTATGATAATACTAGGATAGAAACCATAGTGTGTTGACAATATCTCATTGTCTGTATGCTCATTGGATCACAGCAAATGTAACATTGAACTGTATCTATGCATACTATTCTACAATTCACTACCTTTTCATTCTTTCTATATTAATAATAACGCTTTGAAGCACGTGGGAATATGATCCCTCATGGTAGCCATGGATTACTCTTTGATAACATCGCAAACAAATATTTCTTCCTCTACATTACTCCAAGATCTTCCGAAAAATTAACATTGAAACACAAATATTTCATCAAAGCCAGTAATGTTTGCCTTTGACCTCTAACCTTTTTCATGCCAAACTTTTGTCACCTTTCACAGAATAAAACCAGGCAATTTTTTACCATTGTAAATACGTCTTTTAGAGATTTAGTAAAAAGTCAGTTGTCGCTTTGAATGAGATTGCTTTCCCGAATCTCCATATACAACACTTTGACATCACATTAGAAAAAGTCTGATTAGTAGTGATGTGTTCTCACTGAAATATATCGTTTTATACACAAGCAGAGTTTCTCACACCTGTCTTGCTTATACATTTCTCTTGTTATACTACGCTGCATACTCTCTGTACTTCTGATTTCACATACTAATAGTATTCTATATTTTATCTCTATATTTACACACAGCTTGTAAGTTAATACTGCTTTCCATGTGTAGTGTGTTTGTGTGCATTTCAAAGTCCTAATTTTTATTTATCAAATGTGTGATCACGCCATAGAAAAGGAATTCATATGTGATATTTGTTGTTACGATATCATTATTGGTTTTCAACTGATTTAAGTTTTCGAGTTTAATTCTTTCTTTGGTGGGTGTGTTTTCATATTTCTTTCCATATACTGTAAAAGGGTTAATTATTCACTGGGTTTTAATTTTGCTTATTTTGCTGACTGGGAAATGCACTAAATTAAAACCCAGCGAATATGTAAAATTTAGCATAGAACACATTATCTAAATGATAAAATTATGAATTTAAAACCCACTGAATATGCCAGAAATGGTAAATCAGCGAAATTTAAACCCAGTGAAAATTAGTCAATTTACAGTATGTCATAGTGCATACTATGCATGTGAAGCATTTCCAACCAATAATATGATGAGAAAATGTTTGAACGAGTACAGATACATTTTGAAATGAGTACAGCTTGTTACGAAACAGTTTATTGTCTATTGTTTTTTGGTGCTAGATGTGCAATGTATAATTTTTCATCATCACTAAACTTGACTGTATTTCCGGTTGTAGGTTATTTCCTTGTGTCCTGATGCTAGACTTTTAGATAACCTTAAAGAGTGTAATAAACTATTAGAACAAGTCCAGAAAGGTTTGAGTGAATACTTGGAGACAAAACGTGCAGCATTCCCCAGATTCTATTTCTTGTCTGACGATGAGTTGTTGGAGATCTTATCTCAGACTAAAGATCCTACCGCTGTACAGCCGCATTTGAGGAAATGCTTTGAGAATATTGCTAAGGTAAGC